CTACTTTCGTACTGTTTCTCACATTTAATTCAAAAATGCGTGTTGATTAATGAAAATTTTGAATCATATAGTGGTGTAATGAGGTTTTTAAAGTAGGCGATAGCGATAGCGATAGCGATAGCAATAGCGGTAGCGATAGCGCTCCGCTATCGATTCGGTGGGTAATAGCGATAGCGGTAGCGGACTAGCGGAAGTCTTTTCGATAGCGGAATAGCGATAGCGCGCTATCGTTCTTCGATAGCGCGCCCAACACTGAGTAAATGAATAAATAAACTAATGGAAAACGGAATAATTAAACACGTAAATGACCGAACAAATTAATAAATAAAGCATAGCAACCTCTTCGAGAGTTTCTTCCTCATCAGTCTCCTTACTAAACGATGTCTCTTTACTAGCAGTTGCCCATCGCCTTCTTGGACTGTCCTTTCGAATCGCTTGTGTTATATTACTGCTCAGCAAAATACCGACGTCACTTTTTGTGGCCCTGATTTTTGATGCTGACACTTTTCGACGCTGTTCTGGCTTTATGCTTGACGGTGAAGTGGTAGATGGCCCTATCGTTGAACTCGAAGAATTTGGCTCAGTCTCGTGATCGATCGTCAGTTTGGTCGATGAACGTTCTTTCATACTAGTCGATCGTTTAGGCACCTAGATGACAGAGACGATTTAAGAAAAAAAAAACGATCCACTGAATAAAGCACGGTCATGACTCAAAATTTATATTTCGAGCAGGCTTTTAATAGTTCGACTCAATGAGGAAAGTTTCAGCATTAAACAAATTAGAAGAGATACAATACACACAAATTGTAGAAAAAGTTAAGTTAGCTTTTCAACACAGAGATTTTTCTAGCGAAACAATCTGCTATAGAGAACTGATTTCAGTAGGGATAAAGAGATGCTTTGGCACCATCGATTTGGTACCAGCCATTTTAATTATGACATTCTTAATTACTGTTCGGTTTATTCTAGAAACTATTCAATTTGTTTGTTCTATGATAACATTGTTTTGTTTTTTCTAAATAAATGTTGTTTCTTTTTTCGCATAAAAAGTTTTCAATCTCTATTCAGCCCATAATCCAGTTGTCGAAAAAAGAATCAGGTCACAGCTGAAGGTTTCAGTCGCACCAAAACGTCAGCCCCAAATGACCCATGCAACAAAATGGCGGCACCAAAACTACCACAACCGGAATAACACCGAATTTCGTAATTTCCTTTCAGTGTAAAACCATTGAAAAATACTTGCATAAGAGAAAATAATTTGGAGAGATGAATGAACGGTAAAATATCAAAATTCAAAAGTGAATTCCATATTACTAATAGAATTTCGTTACCCTCTCCTCGATGACTTCCATTCGATTGTGTTGCGCGATTGGTTCAACGTCTTCAATCACCTGAATTTGAGATGAGATAAAATATATATAAAGTTAAAATACTGATGGAATTAATCGAATTTCGAAGCAATTAACAATTAATTTGAATGTTTCTTTTAACAATTTTAACAATTTAACAATTTTAACGACAGGAATTTGACAATTCTTTGCTTTGAAGAAACTGATGGATGAATGATGTTTATCTATAATCGAATCACTGCAAATTATTGCTTCTTAATCCTCGAGGTGTCAATTACCTGTCCAATAACTGAGAAGTGACGATTTCTTTCCAACGATCGCGTTCTTTCATGCAAACTGCCCGGTAACATTTGAACACCTGCACTTGCAGAGCGTTTGTAGGTCTGAAAAATAATTATTCATTGAAAATTCATTACGATTCGAATCTTTAAAACGGCAGAATTCAAACGGAAACCAATGAATTTTGACATTTTCGTGTTGGTAATTCTAAAGATCCGATAAATTGGAATATCAAAATATTACTCGGTAATGCTTGAATTTGGATAAATTCATAAGCAATTATTTGAACTGATTGGAAATTTTTCAATAGAGTGAACAAGAAATTCGCCAAAGGAAAATTAAATGAATGATGGAATTTACTCGATTGAAACTGGACAATTTGGGCGGCGGTGCTCTTGGTTGTTTCATTTCAACGAATATACCAGCTGCAATGAATTCGATGAGGACAAACGGACGAGTAAACAACTGGAAAATGAATGAATATTTTTAAAAAAATAAAGAAAAACCGAAGTTAATATACAACTGACTTTCATGGATGCGTTTTTGGTCAGCATCACTCAACAAATTCCATGCTTCTGCTTTCACCACAGAAGCGGCGTAATGGAGAAGATGCTTATCGACTAAATCGCATAATCGGCGAACCAAATTCATGAATTTCTGCAATCACATTACTTTTCATCATTTCACAAACTGATTTGCCTGATCATTTGATATAAAATAAGGTCGCAATGATATACACTGAATCGCTCCATTATGCAGATTGGTTATTTTTTAATCCTTTACTGCTTAGGATAAGAGGGATAATAAGATACGCATTGAGGAAGCGAGAATATGAGAAGAATCTGCGTTGAGCCTGCATTCAAAATGCACTGCGCCTGCAGTCAGAATCTGCATTCAAAAATCTGGAAGGAGACTGAATTTTGCAGTGAGTTTTGCGAAGAGGTACATCTCCCATTGCTTAGTGCTCAACATATGCACCGGAACGTTATAGAACGATGGCATATTCATTTTCGTCAATTTTTTAAAACAAAAAATCAGCTATCGAAAGGTCAACTCAAAAATCTCACCGGACTCCATTCATCGATAGGAATTGATAGTGTAGAGTGCATGGATCGTTTTGGTTGAGATGATTCATTTTGAATTATTTTCGACAGATGCAATAAATTCAAGTAGGTTTTAATGGCGATTTCAGCCGACAGAGTATGTACCAACGTTGGTAGAATATCTTCCAACAGTGATAAATTCAATGCCAATCCCTTAAGTTAGAAACAACAGTGAATAAGAATGATTGTAAAATTAAGCAAATAGCAATAAATAAGATAACGGTGGTACTAATAATGAAATAAGAATACTAATACATGATGATATCTAACCTTCCCCTGTGCCTTAAAGGCCTCTGATCCAACGACTTCATCAAAAGATTGCATAATAAATTCTTGGCAATATTCTAAGATATCGGCTACTAAACCCAACACCACTTCACTCGCCACTGTTGATTTGGATCGTGGTAACGACATCTATAATTCAATTATTCCTTTACCAAACTGAAATAATGCTGCATTATCATTGCATTTGTTCACAATAATATTCGTTTTGTATTTCATAGACTGAGAACTGTATCGCATTAGGGTGGATACGAGGGATAGCACTGAGGAAGTGAAGATATGAGAAGAATGTGCATTGAGCGATTTCGTAAACTATTCTAACAATCATGATTGATGAGCTGCATCCACAGATTCATGTGGTTGTAACTGCGGGACTTTTAAAAATCTGGAAAGAAACTGAATTTTGCAGTGAATTTTGCTTCACAATGATACGAATCCACTTAAAAGTAGATTTTCAGATCTAATCTATCAAAATGCGATATATATCGCTGAGTCACTATAAATCCTCACAGTCAATCAAATACTCAAAATTTAAAACAGTTCAATGGCCGAATACTAACCTGTAATCGTTCACATCCCAAAAGGACGTCGATTACGGATTCTTCATCCTGTAAAATTTCCATTTTAGTTTAGAAGAAATTTAAGGAGGATGAAATATTTCTAGATGCAAAAACCCTTTTTTGTTCAGTTACTTTCTGATGTGAAATTTCAATGGAAGCAAAATAGCAATTGAGATAATTCCGCCTATATTTGAAAACAAATTTTTGTATAAAAAGATTTTTCGGACTTGTGAAATGAAAAACGAAATCACGATATCGCTTTATTTCTCATTCTAAATCAATAAATCAAGAGAATTTTTTCAAAAGAAATGCATTTTTACAGATATATTCTGATAAAAATTAACTCACCATTTCCCTAACCAACGTTTCAAAACATTCTTTTTGCCATCGTGGATTTAAATGCAGAAACACTCGTCCCTTCCAAATGCGTGCAAAATATTTCGCTTGCCACGAAAGAGCCTTAAGAAGCTCGTATAAAACAATCCATCTTCATTTTGATAGTTCAATTAAATGACTGATTAATGGACTTCTAAAACGAAAAAAAGATGGAACTAACTTCATCGTAGAGTGGTCGAAGGCATTTGATTGCATGAAACTGAGGAAGGGCATCGAAAATCGCAGATACACAAGTGGCACACGGCTGAAACCACTGAGAGGTTAGAACTTGAAACTTCAAGTCGAAAGGAATTTTCTTCTAAAGTGCGATTTTCAACGGTTCATCAGAAAAATCGCTTTGGAAACAGATGTTGGAAAGGAAAGCAATCTAATAAGAGTAACACATTATTCATTGCGATTTTCAAGTTCTCATTGGGACACGAAAAATGAAATAAATTACAACTGAAGATGAAGCAGAAATCAAAAATCAGCGAACCAACCCTATGAAAGAAGTGACATTTATAAGCTCTGAAATGCAGTAAAATAACTTTCGTCAAACTATCCATGTTCAAATGCGTCGCTAATGAAATCAACTCCCATACATCGACGTCATCGCCGATTGATGTCAATCCGCCATAAAGAAAAGACAAGAAAAAATGTACTGCAGTCCGAGAGTACCTGCAATAGGCCAAAATCAATCATCGTTTAAGTATGATCATAGGTTAGTCGGGTGTTGGAACACTTCAGAATGTTGTATGAGCACGAATGTCATATGGATGAAATTTCATTGAGATGAAATTATTCTTTGTTGTTTATGAATAAGCAGAGAGCTGAGACCATTTTAGCGACTAACAAACCAAGTCAAGATCGTAAATATTCAAAAGTTTTCAAACAATTGATGCAACACCACATGGCGACTCATTCACGAGACTTAAAAGTTGCTGGAGTTTGAGATTGAGCGGAATGAATCTGAGGTTGAAATTTACCAGAATATTTAATAAACTTCAGTGAAATATCCCGAATGAATTGACAAAACATTATCAAAAGTAACCTATCTAGTTCTAATTTTCTTCACTAAAAATACAAAACAATAAATTACAAACCCTTTTAATTCGATTTGGTTTTTACGATGTTTTTGCAATTGATTCTTGAAATACGGACAAGTAGCCGATAATATACATCTGAAAAATCAATCAAAACTTAGAAATAATTTCGTTTCTATAGCGACGACAGCAAAAAATTTTGACGAACTCAACGCATCATTTGGTAAAAACTTTATACAGTATCATGAATTATTGATCAAAACGATCGAACCTATGAGCGAATAATTCTCCATTATCAGTCTTAACAATCACGTCGGTATCGATATTCTTCAAGTACATATTCAATAAATCAGAGGCCAATTTGCACGACGGATTGCGATCGGCTGGTGGAATCGTTCCTTCACATAAAGCAAATCACATAAGTTTATCGTTATATATTCACAGCAAAATTCATAAATTCAATCTATAGTTATCGCAATAAATAAGCAGTGTGACTTCTGTTCAACCAATATCAGTTTCTCATCAAGTGAATACCGTGAAGGCACTATGATCATTTCACCTATCAAAATGAGTTTGAAATTTCCGACATTTTAATGAATTGCAGTGGGACGAATGAAGTAATGACGAATGATTATAAGAAATACCATCATGATTAGGTGTTAAATCGATAGAAGTCAATGATGTTAGCGAGGTAACTGAGAGTCGTCTGGCCATTATCGCACGACCTCTTATACCCTCAGGTCCCGGTGCGCTATGCCACATTTCGTTCGTATCTTGATTACCTTAACCATCTTTCATTATATAAGTGATATAAACAACAATATCAGATGATGTTACAAAACAACGGCATTCGATGTAGAATGATAATAAATCACCTTCAAGTCCAATGAACATCGGGAAAATATGTTTGGAAGCACCACTCGAAGTCATTGATCTGTCTTGCTCACTACTCGACTGATTCATTTCGTTTTGTTGCGATTGTTCATCGTCGAATCGTATGAATTTACCTGATGACACTGAGAATGGCACGATATTACTCAAGCATTCGTACTCATCAGATAGAAATTCAGTACCAAAAATACCAAAAATCGCACGAGTGAAATCACTCAAGAAAATGAATTCATAATTAGAATTATCAATGTGGAACAAAAAATTGCAATTACAAATTTCTAACTTATAATAGCTAATTAGAGAAACAAGTGAGTAAGAAAGGAAAAACATAAATGAATGAGCAACTAAGAAAATGAAACGAACTATCAACATGAGAATGTTTTCTTTCAGCACCGTCAAGAGACTGTTGTTTGGGTGGTGATGACTCGTGATTTGTGTGGTTTGACAAGCGACTCTCTAAACGTTCAGATGATAATGATGTGCACATTGGCGACTCTGATGCCAATTCCCGAAAGGATGTCATCTGCGGTTGAGCTTGGATCGATATCACTGACTCTTCCATCATTCCACCTTTAAATTATAAAATTTTCATGGTTGATGCAGTTAATTACGGAAATATTCATTATGGAAATTGCAATTTAATCATGGAAATTGCCTCGTTCTCATGCTAACAATACAGACAACATCAGCGATAATTATCTTAAGTGTGCACCTCAACATCTCAGCAAGATACTTTGAATGAACTTCAATAGATTTTGAAGCAGTTTCAGTCATGAAATTAGGTCATAATTTTTCTCGAAACGGAATCAAGAGAATAACGAAAGAAATGCAGAAACAAACCACTGATAGTGGACTCATCCAACTGACAGAACGACGCATTTTGGGACGTTTCAAGTGAATCCCCTTGAGGTGTTGCACATTCATCANTGCCTGTGACGATAAACGTTTCACATCTTCATATTCACTCGATTCATCCATTTCGGAGTCTGGCTTTCCTGCTCCGTCCCTACCATTACCTGAAATATACCACTGAATCATTATTTGTGCCGAAACGGCGGATTCCAATCGTACAATTCTCTTCAACAGGCTTCTAAAATATCAGATTGCCACGAAACTTTAACAGTTCTCGAACCATTGGAAGAAATATGAATGTAATTGGTATGCGAACTCTAGAACGACTCTTAAAAGACAATAAAATTTTAAGCATATCTCTGAAATCTGAAATCTTTCAGTCTTGAATTCAGAGTCTACTCAGTTTTATAGAACGTCCGTTATTGCGATAATGAAGGCACAAAATGGATGAATGCATAATAATTGTCACAATACAATGATATGTGGACGAGAGCAATTATGATTGCGAATAGACAAAAATTTTCATCCATTAGCATATAAATATCACGAAATAAAATTGTGGCCTCCAAAATTGTCTTATAGTCAACTGCCATGAAGCAACTTCAATTGCAAAGAATTGAATGATGTAAACGATAAGCACAATGAAGTTGTACTTATCAAAATAGGAAATACATCTGGAGGAATGCATTAGGGACTCGTAAATATTGGACGAGAAATTCAGAGCGATGTAAACAATTCGAATAGCTGTGAAGGACATGGAAGGTGCGCAATAAAATTCCTCACAAATACATTGTTTATTATGCATGGAAACTGTTTCTTAGTCATTTATCATTTCACAGAGTTCAATCCAAAGCAAATCAATAGTGAATGCTAATGACCGACACTTTCCAAAGAATTGTTATCATTTGCAAAAGTAATTCGTAAAGTTTCATTCAAACATTGAATTATGTCAGTTTTTCAGAAGGCGCAAAAAAATTTGAAAAAATTGAAGAGATCAAGATTATTACATTCGAAGATATTACAAAACAATGCAAAAGCTTTGAAAGCTTCAAAAGTTTCTGATAGTCAAAAGATTCGCTATTTTAATAGTGCACTATTGCAATCTCAGTTAAATTTTATTACATTCGATGTCATAAATTCTTTCAAAATCGCTCTTCCGAATACAGAACTGCAATTGAGTATTCGATAAAGCTAAGCCATTTGGAAACGAATACAGCCATATTGTGGAATAGATATTAGAAAAAACATAAACTTGAGATCATATAGATGGCAATATCGATTCATTCCTCGTTCTTGTCAACAAAATACTGATTCCTAGTTGACACTGAATTCACGAGAGTATTACCTCTACGCCCGATGTTATCATTATTGCTATCATCATTATTATTATCATCGTCTCGTTCTCGCATCCTAACATCACATCGATCAGGTAACTGCGATACTTCATCATCCGTATACACTGATCTGAAAGCATTCCACTTATTAATGTTCATTTCAAGCTTTCAACAGTCAATCGAAACCTTATAAGCAGTGCAATAATAGGGAGAATAACACCTCTTACTCTAATAGGCGAACGAAGGATATCTCGAGAAGTTTCTGTCATGTACACGTCTTATATCCATCAAGAACATTTATCAAAAATGTAACCCTTCGAGAATTTTACTATCACAGAGAGTAACTTTTCATAGATATCCTGATCAAATACGTTTAAAAACAACCACATCTACTGAAGATCTATCAATTCAATGCAATCGACACTAATCAATGTCGCAATTCAGTGAGAAATTGGAATTGTCAAACTGAATCCATTTGAAAATCCGAAGAAATCGCACCTAATAAAAAACCTCAATCCATTCGAGTCGATATCTCCAACCGCAACCTCGAGTGGTCCGTTAAGGATGCCACTTTTCCTCGATGCAATAATCGTTGGCTCTATATGTCGTCTATAGAATCCAGGTGCACGTTGTTGTAGTATACATTGATGTGCCGGTAGTTTATTACCGTCTGCAGACACTAACAATACATCTGCGTCGCAGACATTCCCCACCTGCAATTTTTCATTGTCATCTCGATAAAGGCTCACTTGAAAAGATTGATGAGAAATATTCATTCTTAGAAACAAGTTGTTTCTGAAAGTATGTTTCTGATTTCCCATAAGGATACAGTCAATGCTTACTTCAGTCACTGATAACAAGAGCAAAATGCTTTGAAAGTCAGAATTTTAAGCTGCCAAGCAAAAGATATCTATAGAGATAAAATGATCTCTCTCAGTGATTAATCAGTATCATGATTAAGCCATAAAAACAGAGAAAACAGCGATGAAACCAACTGCATAAACGTTAGGGAAACGGAATTGACACTGGATTTGTAAGCAAGACGAAGAATCAGAAGACTTGAAAGATTTAAGCTTAGCAGTTGGAACAACGTTTAGGTTGGATAAATAACGATGATAACGTTTCGGAGCCAGCTTGCGGTCGCAACAAAAACCGATATAAATGACTGGCCTTATAAGATGTTGGATATTACTGGCAACAACATCCACACGAGAAAGGTTGCAGTCAAAGAAATATCCTTGTGCTTATGTGGATACAGAGAGATAAGGCAGGCAGCATCCGCGGAACGATAAGCGAACGATCAGATATCAACTCATCGTCAGAGACAAACAAAAGTATATTAATATCGAAACGGTCTGAATAGAAAATTTCTTCTTCCATTAATAAACGATTAGGAAGTATTGAACTGCACTTTGTTTCGAGGAGTTAATGCATGCATGATAGAAAACAGCATATCTACTCTTCATGCATATTAGCTTAGGGGAACGAATATATGTGAAGGTTAAACGCGTCCAATGATCGCTACTCTGACCGATTATTGGACGCAATCGATTGAGCCAAGTGTACTTTTGGACTCATTTTGAGTCCCGCTCCCTGGAAATTGCCCGGCAATATGGGAGAGTATCCCTTCACCTCTATGTTCGTCAAATCAATAATCGAAGATAGAGTTTCATGAAGAAAGATGATTCCTTACGCTGATATTGTTAGCTGCACGGAAAGAAGGATATCAAGCAAGGAAGAATACGACAATTGTGATATTGGTGATAACAGAGAGGTATAAACTCGTTAGATTTGCTCATTAAATAAATGAGGAAATAAATAGTAAATATATTCGAGTTAGATTTGCTGATTAAATAAATGAGTAAATAAATAGCAAATATATTCGTTTGATTTCTGAATTTGATCATACTAAAGGAAATTTCATTTTGAATGCTTTTTAATATCATCACCAATGCAGCATTGAGAATGAAGGTAGAGATAAAACTTTGAATAGTGACTGTAGCTTAATAATAATTTTCTAATGGCTACCAGTATCACCACGATTATCCTCATTAACGCTTTCAATATTCGCACTTTGAAAATTAGTGTAAAGTGCAAAGACTAATATACTAAATAAAATTGATAAATCTTCAAACGGATTCGCAGACATTAATCGGATTCTTGAAAATTCAATCAAAAAATTCAATGAAGAAACACTAACCGATCTCACATAGTTTCGATTCAATCGCACGTTAAATATTGTGGAATAGGGGATCATTTAATATTCAGAAAGCAAATAAATTCGTTATTCTAAAGATGTAATTCTCTCAATATAGATTTGTTCGTCTTTGATGCTGTACTTATGTTGAAGCAGTTTCCGAGGAACAAATTTTAATCCGTGTCATGTAATCACTACAAAAATGTCAAAAACACAATAAAATTTCAATATCCTGATAATTCGTTGCGCAAGTCAAGTATATACTAGAACAAGGAGAAATATTAGGCGTGATGGGGTCGTCTGTAGGAGATATCAGTGAATATGATTTTAACAGAGGGATAGTGACAATTTTAATAGTCAAAAAACGAGTAGGGATAGGTTTATGGAACGAAAATATTTACTGATGAGCGAATAGCACAAGATGTGGTATCGCAAACATTGTAGACAGGACAGGTATGGAATGCATTCATTCAGCTGAATGGATTGGAAATTGATGATTGCGGTGGATAAAATTGAATGATTATCAAATAATGAATAAATAAACGTTTTAGGCGGATGAGATTCAATGTTTTGATATATGGATATCTTTATGATTGAAATGCAGTAACGTGCGATGGTAGTGAACAGAAGCATTTGGGGAGAAGTAACGTGAATGAATACAGTGAAAACTGTACAAAAATTATGTAATTTGATTTGGGATTTGTCATACGGGAATAATAATGGAACAGCTGTGTTTACTTATTGTCATTTTACGTGTTTTTGGGCAATGCACACATATATCGACGGTTTTGAGACTGAGAAATGAATTTCGCAATGATTTCGATTAGGAATTATCAGTTGATGATTTTACATGAATTGGAACTGCCTTTCACGTGTATTGAATAACTTCGAACGGATTTCTTGAATAAAGATTTCCAGGAAAATGCAAGGCATGAAATTAAAGTTGAATTAATTTATAACGTTCAATTGCAGTTATTCAACACTGGTGAGAATGGGACTGTTATATAATCTATTCTATATCTAGTACATTGTCCCCACGCTCAGGTGCCTCTTTCGATCGTCTGGCAGGCCGTCATTACCCCTCTCCTCAGCTCTCCCGCTACAATAATTTACTACTAATTTACCATTTCCACGCATAACGTCCCTACCTCTCTCCAACATCTCAAAACTAATTTCCCGATCCCTCCATTACCTCTCTCCAACATCTCAAATTACCCAAAAATGGGTAATTTCCTACTATGTGGATTCCTGATGCAGTAATACGAAGCAGTCTTACAAGTATGTGAAAATTTTTGATAGTCATTTTAGACACTATATTTTCTAAATACAACCTAGAATCGGAAAAAGAAGTCGGGGTCGACTGAAAATGAGATGGCGAGACAATATTTGCAAAATGCCCAGCCAAACATGGATGAGAAGAGCAATGAACTGTGATAATAGTGATAAATGGAGTGATGGCTTGAAGAGGCTTATGTACGA